ACAAATTTGTTCTTCACGATGCCTCTTGCTTCCCTCACAACTTTTTCACTAGAAAATGGTTGCTTACACGTAGGCTATGTTTGGTAGATAAAACTAGCTCATTTGGTTAGTCTATAAGCTTTATATATTTAAATAAGGTTCGTTTGGTAGGACGAACTTTTTTAAAAAGCTCGAGCTTATCTCAAAAGCTTCTTTGGGTAGCTTTTCTAATAAGCCGGTTGAATTTTTTTTATTTCAACTAGATTATCAGCTAATTTTATCAAACACTTTTATCATACTAGTAAAGTTTACGTGCGATGCACGTGTGTAAAATGAGTTTCCTTTGTGTTTTTTTTCTTTTGAATAATGAAGGAATATATTTTAATGTAATTTAATATATTTTAATATATTTTAATGTAATTTAATCTTATGTTTGAAGGATTTGGCTTCTTGATATTAGACGTGTATGTAGAAAGAGCACCTTACCAAAAAAAAAAAAAAAGATTATTATTTTTTATATTATAAAAAGTATATTTAGAATGAATAAAATAGCAAATATATATTGCAATGAAGATAGTAAAACTAACAGCAGTACGATACATTAGATATCATATATATACTTTAATTGATGCAAATAGTAGGTTGCCACATTATTATTAACAATTATTCTAAAATAATTAACCAAGATCCAATTTCCATGCCAGATAAACGACATAGATTTATATATGCTTGATCACAAAGTTATATATGCATAAACCAAAGTCAATCAAGCCAAAAATACCAGATCGGGAAAGAATCACATATGCATCTTATGACAACAATACAGATACTAAAAAAAATCAAGAAAATAAATCATATGAATGCCAAAAAAATAGTATAATTAGTATCAATCTAAGGAGTGATCAAGCAGCTCCGTTGAGTTTGTTGGCAATGGTGGCAATGTACTTTCCCTGGTGAAACGCTTGCTCGTTTTCAAGCTCAGATGGCTGGCGTGGTTGCTCTCCAGCAAAAGTCCCAGCACCATAAAGGGCTTCCGCCTTTAACTTTCTCCAGTTCAAACATGCGAGCTCCAAACGTATATCCAGTAGGCACAAAGATCATCTCGTGGTGAAAATCCATAACTGAGTTAGATTCACTTCTATCATGCAAAATATCCTGACCCTTGGATGGAAAATCCATAATTGAGGTAGACTCACTTCTTCCTTCCAATACAAAAGGGTTGCACCTTCCGCTGTCAGGGTTGTACTCTACAAGGGTATTACTATTCAACTCGCCAGAACTATCAGTTTGTTTCTTCAAAACTTTAACCTTCTCTTCGGCTGATGAAGTCGAGAAGGATTTAATCTGATCGGTCATCAATTTGCAGAAGAGGCAAAGAATTGCAATTTGGAAGAACATCAATCTGTTTGTAAGAACTTTACACTTATAAAGAAAGTGCTACATTGCAATTTGCATTGTAATTTGCAGAAGAGATAAAGCATAATTGAGCATCAGGTAGTTTTGAAAATTGGTACTAAAACTTAAACAAGTCGTCTAGCGCACACAGAGCATACTCCCTCTTTTTTTTCCCTCTTTTTTTAGATACTAATTATGTGGCATTTGAGAACACCAACAAACTATTTATTTATGTATTTATTTTCAATTCCAGTAAAGAAAAAATATAATTTATACTTTTATATCATCCATAAAGTCCAAATTTGTGTTTCTCTAGCTAGCATGCAGGTCATTTATGCCTTTTCTAGCAAAGGTTTGAAAGTAATCATCACCATATGAAAAATGCAACCGACAAAGATGATAAATACTACACTACACATGAGATACAACATTTGTAACATTTCGATGTCTATCAGCTCATAGTAAGCACGATATCAGC